CCGAGGAGGTACGTAGGGTGGTGCTAATAGCACTCAAAACTAATATAAACCATAACCCAAATCTCATTCCATAATCTCATTCCAACAATCCCATGTACCCAAATCACATTTCCAAGTATAGATAATCACTCTCAAAAATAGCATATATCTATTCAAAATAATCACAATCCGCAAATATTCGAATATACTTCAAATACTTATGCATATTTTTCCATGCTTGAAAATAATGATTATAGTTTAAAACAAAGTCTACTCACAGATAATCCCACGCTGTTTGACCCTGAGAGGGTCCCGCCTATTGCGTACATTGGGTCGGAGTACCTATTTAAGAACACAATGGCTAGATTAAAATAAAATATTTTGAACGAGACTTTAAAATAAATTCCTATGTTTCCCGGGATTCAAAGTGTGTGAACGACGAACGAGAAGTTCCTAAGGTCCAACTACATGTTTTAAATGATGGAATAACCTCGGGAGACACTCGGTCAACCGAGTGGTCAAACTTTTCAAATTTGGTCAACCAAACCCGCAGGGCCCATGACCTTCGATTTCATATCTAAAAGTTCCAATAGTTCAACAAGGTTTATTATACATCTCCTATAAGTTTGGTCTGAATCGAACAGTCGGATCGCTCGCGATCGCACGACGGTTACTATTTTACGTAATCTTTGAATCATTGAATAGAAGCATCCGAGATTTCGATTCACGATCCACGAATTCCCACACGATTCTAGAGATACCTTGATCAACATATATGGAAATTGAGTTAATCCAATGGTATGAACATATCGAACCCGGATAACGTCTAATATGTGTAAATCAGATCGATAGTCAAACGATAACCAAATTCAAATTCGAGCATACCGTCGTGCTCGGGACGACATGAGGATCATTTTAGGACCAAATGGACCACCCAAACTTGGCCCATGCACCGCCACACGCGGTGGTAGCGCGTGGGTGGCTTGAGAAAATTCTAGCAACCTGAAAATTCTCAAATCACCCAACAATACCTAAACCTACGTGATTAGGACAACGAGTGGAGCAACTTTTGTTCTTGGACCATGGCCAAAAAGTGACTGAAACTTACCAGAATCTCGAGCCGAAAACTGGCCAAACTTTGGATTGTAAATCAAGTTTCAAAACTCAAAAATCAATCATAATCAACCCAACCATCAGCTAGAGCACATTGAAAGGGTGAGAAAGCATACCTAGATCGACAAAAATGGTGACCGGAATCGTCCGAACGAACGCCGGAAGTTTTGGATAAAAACCAGTCGATTTTTGCGACTTTGACGGCGGTAAAGGCAGCTGCTACGGCGGGGGAGGGGCGGGATGGAGAGAGGGAAGTGACCCGGTCATTTTGAGACTGGTCCCGATGCAAGTGGTGGCCGAATATGGCGGTGGTGGCCCAAAATAATGGTGGCTAAACAGTGTGGGGGGTTTGTTCATGAGAGAGAGAGAGAGAGAGAGAGAGAGAGAGAGAGAAATCTAATTTTTAAAAGGGAGATTCACTATTATACCCAATATAGGAGTCTAAATTAGAAAGAAAAAAAAAAAAAAACCCCCTTACATGAGATGGACTTTAGAAACATATCTAAAGCCCATCTACAACATAACAAATTTTTTTTAAACTTATTTTAAATTACAAAACTGCCATTGATTTCTTAAAACAAAACTAACCCCAAAACCTCATAAAAAGTCCAAAACACTTAATAGGACATCAAAGTAATTTTATAATCAAAATTAAATTCAATAGGGCCAACTGTTATTTTTTGGATGTTTTTTGGATTTCTTTATAGAAATTAAATGGTGTAGAGTTTATCTATAATATTAGTGCTAAGAATGGGTATATGACTAAATATCTCTTTTTAAAAACCCAACTTCGAAATATTTATAATTGTGTCATTGCACTTCCGTTGATTGTAACTTTTTCGTTATAGCTCCGATTTAAGCTCACTACGTGTCTACAAACTCGTATCGATGCGATCTACGTCATGGTGTCAGTCAATTCCCCAAAATCTTACCTGATTAAAAAGTGACTAAAATAACCCTATCCCCGAGGGCAAAATTGTAATTTCATAATTTAATTCATTAATTAATTAAAACGAATAATTAAAATTGGGTCGGGGTGTCACATCATCAAAATTGACAGAGTTATTAATGGAGATAACAGTAGGGGTAAAGTGGAACACAAAATCACGGTCAAGGGGGTTAAATGGGTCACTTTAACTTTAGGGGGGTAAAGTAAGATTTGACCGAAATTTCAAGGAGCACTACAGTAAATAAGCATTTTATATATATAGAATAGACGAACCTCTTGGGGAGAGCTTTCCTTAACCCACGCCTGGCTCGGAGAGGTGACACTCCCGCCACCTTTTTCTTCCTAAAAAAAAATGTAATAAAATCCTAACATAATAGACGATATGACTTCTTTTACTAACCACCTTAACCATTTTGGAAATTGAAGTACCAAAATGAGAATCGTGTCAAAGTTCAGGGACTATTGCACCTATAAATTATACTCCAAAACTTTAAATAGTGGGTTAGCCCAAGCCAAGTGTCCTGATCGTATGGGTGGATCTGGTTTGCAATATGTGACCCATGGTACAAACTCACATGGCTGGTCCTGAGATTTTGAGGGCTCTATGCAAAACTTAAATTGGAGCCCTCACATAATCTAATATGAAAATACTAAAAAAAAAATTCGCCATACTTAATGTCGTAAAATAATTTTTATAACTAAAATTCATCATCAATTAGCATGTAATAACAATCTCAAAATCAAAGTCATAAATTTTTTTAATGTTTTCATTTGATAAAGTTAAATATTAGTACGTTGGGTAAAAAAAATAAGGGGCCGTTCGATATTGTTTTCACAGCCCCATTTTCGTTTTCCGATTTCAATTTTCACAGAACACCCATTCGGTGCAGTGTTTTCCCAAAACACTAAATCTGTTTTCTGAAAACAAATCCAACCTCATGTACAAAAAATGAAAACGAAAAGAAGTCGTTTTTAGTGTTTTCTTTTTCATTATTTTTTGAAGACATGGGAATGCATCCCATCAACTACTCCAACTCTCTCTCTTGACAACTGAGAAAACCACCACCAGGGACAACACCCATCTTTTCCAACCCTAAATCACACAAATATGCAAATTCAAAAAAAAAACTGAGAGAGGAAGAAGAAGAGAAAGAATCAGAGAGAGAGGAAGAAGAAGAACCACCACATACCCAACTCAACCACCATCACCACCCAATCGAACCACCACAACCACTAATTAGTGGAACCATAGAGAAAGAGCGAAAGATGGGTGGGTTGATGGGATTCATGTCATGGAAGGAAGGAGCAGTGGGTGCAGAAGAAACAAGGAAGAAACAGGCCTGGGAAGGAAAGGAAGAAGAAAAGAGGAAGAAAGAAAGAAAAGGAGAAAAAGAAGAAAAAATAAAGGAGATAATATTGTTTTAGGGCCTTTAAAAAGTATCAGAATTTTTTTTGTAGAACAGAAATTAACAAAAATAACTCATATATTATTATTCTCAAATTGTATTATGGGACACGTTTTCACTGTTTTTATTTTATGAATTTGTTTTTCAATTAATCTACCATACACATATTTTCGAATTCTGAAAATGCAAATTCGTTTTCTCGTTTTCATCCTCTGAAAACATTCTCAGAAAACATTCTCCGAAAATGTTACTAGACAGCCCCTAAGAGTTCAAGAGAAAGAAGAAGGCATGATTTTTTTGTTTTGAATGGAAGAAAGTACTTTGTTTTGTTTGGGCCGCCCCTGCAAACTCATAACCAAAGCTGCGTTGGCCGAGTAGCCTTTGGGCCTTGGGCATCAAAATATAGTTAGAATAAGAGCAATATTTTTTTTTGGTTAACAAGGGACCAAAGAGAACATTTGAGCAAGGTGAACAACAAACCCCATCAATGTCGTAAAGCAAAGATAGATGCGTCTCATGCAAGTTAGAGAAGAGATGACTAAAACACAAGGCCTAGGATACATACTAAGCAGTTAGTGTCATGTCGTATTGATAATGTGTAGATAGATATTATTATCAAATAATAACAACAGATGCTATCGATACATTATTGACAATATCGATAGAGATGGACGTCTTTACAGAAAGTTTTTGACCAACTGAGACCCAAGTGTTTACGACTCAAATTCAACATGCCATTCAATTCTCTAGGACGGTCAGAATTGATAGTAGTAAATGGTCATCAGTTATTGGATGAAGATTTCACATAAATTTCTCCCAGTTGGTGATGGAGAGCTAGACAAAACCATTCCCAGACGTACAACTTTAATTGGTGCTATGAACCAGCTGCTCATACGCCCTCATGCACAAAGCGCCTACTTTCTGTTGCCAATCTTTACAATTTGCAATACCCTTAACGTAACTTGGGTGATTATTATATTGTTTTTCTACACTGTTATATATCTCTTCAGCTAATTCCACACCCCATGCATCCTTGAGATCCCGCACTTCTCATTTAATTAATTTGCATTGGTGGGGTTGTTATTAGATACTGATTTTCAGTGGCGATAGAAAATACATACATGTTCCATTCTCCAGCGGATTATATAACATAGCTATTTTCTTGAATATCATTGCAGAAAAGTAGTATAAACAATAAGAAAGTTCCAATGGCAAGAGAGCAGGAGCAATTTTCAGCAGAGATTGAAAACCGGGGCTCTGAGAATTTCGGTCCCAATGGTGGATCTTTCTTTGTGTCTGTAAAGGTACGGCAACACTTGCCGGATTTTCTTGGTTCAGTTAATCTGAAATATGTGAAGCTTGGTTATAGTTATCTCATCAGCCATAGGCTCTACTTCTTGATTGTACCGGTTCTCATAGTGCTCTGCAGTGCTGAAATAGGAAAGCTGAAAGATCTCTTTCCAAATCCAAAATGTGAACTTACAGATGCTCTCTTTATATTGGGATTATTGGGATTCATTCTATATATTTTTCTTGACTTGGCACCTCGCTCTACTTATTTAGTTGATTTTGCTTGTTATCGTCCACCAGATGAACTAAAGGTAATTCAATTTACATATATGCTATTACTATACTAGCTATATAGCTACACTAGTACATAATTTCTATATTTTGATCTTCAATACTAATAACTAATCTTGAAGTTTTTTCTGGTTTTTCATTTAATTTTCTGTATGTACGGGGCACCAAATTAAAGATCTCAAAGGAGGAATTCATTGAATTAGCAAGAAATTCAGGCAACTTCAATGATGCTGCCATAGATTTTCATAAACGAGTTCTCAAGAGTTCTGGCATAGGCCAAGAGACGTACATGCCCCGAGTAGTGTTTCGCCCTGATTACACAATAAGTCTAAAAGATGGAAGAGAAGAGGCAGCTATGGTGATGTTTGGGGCCATAAATGACCTTTTCAGAGCCACCAAAATCCGGCCAAAGGACATTAGAATCCTAGTGGTGAACTGTGGAGTTCTGAATACCACTCCATCGCTGTCATCAATGGTAATAAACCATTTTAAGCTGAGGCCTAACATTCAGAGCTTCAACCTCGGTGGAATGGGTTGTGCTGCAGGAATCATAGCCATTGATCTGGCAAAAGACCTTTTGAATGCTTATCCTGGCACATATGCACTGGTAGTGAGCACCGAGGCCGTGTGCTACACATGGTACAAAGGCAACGACTTGGACATGCTGCTTTCTAATTGCTTCTTTCGGATGGGGGCTGCAGCCATGTTGCTCTCTAGCTCCCGTCTCGACAGGTGGCGTGCCAAGTATGAACTCAAGCAGGTACATACCTACTACTTGCTTATAATTTTCTTTCGTTAAACTAATAATCTTATATAATGTGGGGAATATATATAATGCAGCTGGTTCGAACTCACAAAGGCATGGATGAGAGAAGCTTCGAAAGCATACATTTAAAGGAAGATGCAAAAGGAACACAAGGCGTGTCAGTGAGCAAAGATGTGGTTGAGGTTGGTGGGCATGCACTCAAGGCCAACATCACCACCCTTGGCCCCCTAGTTCTCCCCGTCTCCGAACAATTCCATTTCCTCACCAATTTGCTCTTCAGGAAGAAGAAAACTAATTACAAGCCATACATCCCTGACTATAAGCTCGCCTTCGAGCATGTGTGTGTATTAGCAACAAGCAACAAGGTGCTCGATGAAATACAGAAGAACCTGGAGCTTACAGAGGAGTACATGGAGGCATCCAGGAAAACCTTGGAGCGATTTGGAAACACTTCAAGTAGTAGCGTTTGGTATGAACTCGCTTATTTAGAGGCAACTTCCAAGATCAAGAGGGGTGATCGGGTTTGGCAACTAGCTTTCGGCTCAGGGTTCAAGTGTAACAGCGTCGTTTGGAAAGCTCTTAACAATGTTGGGAGGCCTAAGCAGAATCCATGGCTTGATGAGGACAAAGATGAGTGTTTGTAGTTGTTTGGAGAAGTAGACTTGATAACTTGCAATTGTTTATTAGCTCAAGTTTTCACACTCATTGTCCCATCATCCAAACAAAGTTTAGGGCGCATATATAAGGCTTTGGTATTTAGTAAATTACAATATCCCTCATACGTACCCTCAACTCAATCCTTCATCAGAATTTATTTTTTTTAAACCCATCCTCACCCCATCATCTTCTTAATCATTCAAAACGAATGCACCCTTTTATTTTTTATTCAACAACATGGTCTATGATATTTAAACTTAGGATCTCCTCCAATAAAATGGAGACTGAATGTCACTAAACCAAATGACAATTTATCTAACTATTTCTTAATTAGGGAGTGACGATTCAAACTTAGGACTATTTCAATAATATTATATCATTAGACCAACTAGTTGATGTCATCATGAGTTTGTTTGTTTCGACTCATAAAGTTTTTTGTTCATTATGTGCATACTAGAACGAGCCCAAAGATATAATGCGGAAAATCTTCCATAAAAGCTAAATGTTAAAATCGGTGACAATTATGAAATATGTGGATGCTTGAATATATATTAGAATTAAAAACACAGGTTGTTAGGACTCAAGATCCTACATTGTAAAAATATGAGTTCAAGATCCTACATTGTAAAAATATATCATAGAGTGATTTAAGAGCTTATGGGCACCCTTACCTTACAAGCCGGTTTTTTAGGGGCAAGTTCTACCCATGAGTTCTTACCATTTGGATTAAGATGATATCAAGTCATTGAATATTGGTAGTTGAGACAAGCCACCTCAAAGAAAGGAAAGGGCTACCACCGGGGCAGTGTCTTTGGACAGGAATTATCGATTTGCTGGTAAGTCAGCGTCTTTCGCTTGATGAGTTGATGCGCACAAAAGAAGCTGCATCTAGTTGATATATATTAACTCTATAAAAAAAAGATCGGGCTTTTCAGCTTCCTCTGCTACAGCGGACACCCCGGTAGCAGGGTGCAGCGGTTTGTTGTGGTGTTGATGGACTTTTAGCAAACATAGCAAAACAAGATACGCATACATACACATCAATTCTCTCTTCTATTACTCATTCAGCGTCAGAAATTCAATCAAATAGAAATCTCAAAAACCAAATATTTTTTAACACCACTTCCTTATCTATCTTACGAAAGAAATGAAACCTGATAAATACACAAGGCTACAATATAATTCCCTTCTCTCACCTCACCTCTTTCTCTCCTTTCCATTTCCTTTTTCCTCTTTATGTTATACATAACTGTTTTCTTTTCCATTATTTCTTCTGAGGTCAGTCCATTGTCATTGGTTGGGTAATGCAACACCTGAAGCGGGCCTTACGAACAGTTGTCATGATCTCAGTCTCTGCATTCTCAAGCATTCTCACAACTTCAGTGAAGGGTGGCCTGACATCAGGGTTGGCATCCCAGCATCTCGTCATGATCTCGCCAAGAACAGGTAAGCAGTCACTGGGAATGATAGGACGGACACCCTTATTCACAACTGCAAATGCAGCCTGCACCGCTGTCATGTTCTGGAATGGAAGCATCCCTGTAATAAGTTCCCAAAGAACAATCCCAAAGCTATAAACATCAACTTTCTGAGTGTATTTCCTATGCTGGATCATCTCCCTGCAGACAGCAATACAATCAAGCAATGCACTTAAGTAGCCCGCACTAAAACAAAAGTTTAACTTTAAGAAATAACCAATAAACAATCAGCAATGACGCTAGTCACAAGCATCTAAAGTTGTCACTACATGATGAAGGATCATTATCAATTTCATTGTGCAAAAAGTAAAAAGAGAGCAAACCTTTAAGTTCAATCCTCATTCTGTATACCAGGAAGCTAATTAATAAATTTCCCATTAGCAGTCCTCAAGAAAAACAAATTTCATGAAACAATATTGATATACAACCGAAAAGACACAAAAGTTAAAGACACAATACTGATGAATCTATTTGGTCATGCGACTAACAAGCTTTAATTAACTCAACGAGCCAATGCCACCTAAATGAGCCAGCTGCTAAACACATAACAACCAATAAATAAGAAACCCATGAGAGGGCATCATTCTTCGGGCATTGAAAGTGAAGGTTTCCAATTTCATTCAAATTATTAGATGAGAACAACACAGGTTTCTCACATGCAAATGAAGTGGAAATTGAAAATTATGCTAGTTTGATCGATACATAATAGCTAATACCAACATTTTCAAAGCCAAGGTATTTTCAGTCCCGCAAGGCAAGGTGTAAGCCTTTCGAACATGAGTTTTCTTGACTAAAAATATATAACTAATATAAAATATAAAAAAGAAGACCTGAAAAAGTTATAAGAATAAACCATTATGGATTTGGACACCATTTGTAGATTGCATCCTATGCAAAAACGAAACAGGATATCGATTGTATTTCACACGGTGCACATCACAACTTATCCGTGTAACTATAGGATCCAGAGTCAAATTACTTTCCAAATCCTTAGTTGAAAATGTAATCTGATCTGCTACCAACATTTGGAACCAAAACACCCCATCGAAATTTTATTGGGGATTAAAAAACAACTTTCAGTTCACACTATTGCTTACAGATACGGAGACTTCTGAGTTCATGGTCAAGAGGATCCAGGACCAATTCTAATTACACTACCGATCAAGTGTAGTCACCATCATATCTAAGTAACTGGTAATAGCGTGAGTGACCCCATAATTACATTGCATGCAAATAACTTTTGATTCTAATAACAATAACGGTAGGTATTGTCTAGCAATGTATAACCCTCTTAAAAATTTAAAGCGGGTCATTCATCAGACATATCATAAAGAATGGAACAACAAAGGAAATTTCCTCATGACCGATACAAGAAGAAAACCAGTATTTATTTTATCCATAGGCACAGCATTAATTAAGTCTGTATTTATTAACATTACAATTTAAGGTTTATTTAATATCATGATTTAGAGTTCTAATTATTAAGGATTGATTAGTATGCTATTCTAGAAAAAAGTTATTCTTTGGTTTTTCATTTTTTGTGTGTGACCGGGTGTGGGTGAAATGCAAAAAGGGCTTGAATACAATTTGAGTTATGTGTTACTATTTCGTTCACATTAACAACTGAAAGGAATGAATCATGGGCTGATTCAGACTCTCTTGGTTATTATCAAATACAGTGTTATTTAAATTGTATGCATTGTCACATTTCCTAAATTAGATCAAACCTCGTTATCGCATGATTAATACCAAAGGGTTGTCGAAGGAAGTGATGTGGTACATGGATGTTTTATAATGTCTTTAAGATAGGTACTTTGGATGGGTATTTAGTTTTTCATTAATGAGCATTTCAGGTCCTACCCTAGGTTACTTTCGTCATAGAGAGCCTCTCAATTTGACGAGACTTTTATAGTTATCTAATTCTTGATTTTATTTCTCCATTCAATAAGAAACCCAGGATGATCCAATTGTTAAAATTTAGCTATTAATTAAGGGCTTAGATTGTTGAGAAAAATCCAAAAGCTATTAAAGAAAAAGATTCTCATGTATGGGGAAAAATATCTTTGTATATAATGGGTAGAGACATTTCTATTAAAAGAGAATCTTTGGAGGCAATGAGAACTACTGCCAAAGCTGAGAAGCTCAATTGGAGCAAGAACATTCCAAAATACGATGAAAAATAAAATAAAGAAAGTTTTGAAACAAGGACAAAAAATAAAAGAAAAGAACAAGGCCATGGTTGATCTGATGGCATGAGGAAATAAAGTGTGTAGAATCAAGAAAAATATGACATTGAAGACAAGAGTCGGTTGACCCAAAAAAAAGAAGACAAGAAAGTCGAAGCAACATTTCAAGTAGAAGCACACCATTGAGAGAGAGAAAAGTCGAGAAAGATAAAAGGCACCCATTAGTTGCCTTGAAAAGGATTCTCTGGTAAATCCTCTTCAAGGCAACTAATGGACAAATTTTCTCTTTCTCCATTTATTTCCCTCTCATATAATTTTGAAGGCTAAAGTACCTCCTGAGGTAAGGGTGATAGCATGGATAATCGTTCACAGGAGGTTAAATAGTTATGATATTCTTAGGAGACCCACCTTCTTGTCGGTCTCCTCATTGGTGTATAATGTGTAAAAGTGGTGCTGAGAGTTTGGACCACGTGCTTATTCACTGTTCAATTGCATTATCTTTGTGGTTACATTGTTTAGGGAGGCTTTTTTGAGTTGGGTGATTTCGGTCTTGTGCGCTGCTTTGTTGTGTGAGAGGTTTCTTTTTTTCATAGGGAAGAATAAGGGAGTGGTGCTAAGGGAGGTGTGCTGTGATGCTGTCTTTTAGGTAGTTTGGGTGGAAAGAAGTAGAAGGATATTTGACTATGTTAGGAGGGGAAGGTGCAAGGTTATAAATTAGGTATATCTTATGCTTTTTATTTAGTAAAACTAGAAATTAAGGTTTGATAATCGCCATAACATATGAATTTAAATATGAATTTCTTTAATTTACGTCTCACTCTCTCAGGGGACATTCATTTGGAGAATTATTCAGTTGAGTTTGCCTATTTTGCCTCTCTTTCTCTTCTCTCTTCTTCAACCTCTATTCTATCCTTCTCTCCATCTCTCTTGATTTCCCTCCCTCTCATTCCACAACAAACTCAAAAGAGATCATTCTTTCTTTTCCCCTCAGGCCCATCATTAAGAAGACAAAAAGGTTTCATATAGAAAAAATTAATACAAAAAATCACAAAATCTAGACAACAAAAGAAAGACATTAGAAATCAATAAATGTAATTCACATTTTAAACGTGAGAATAAATTTGAATGAAAAGAAGAATGTTATGCGTCATTCAAACCGGCACTGCAAGAAAATTCATTAACACAGACACAAACACATACAAGTCAATGTCTTTCATTTCAAAGACATCAATTTATTTTTTTACTTTTTAAAACAGAGAACTCTTAAGTATTGTGCGTTATGGATAAAAAGAGAAATACCTCATATATGACCGAAACTATTAT